TTGTTGCAGCATATTAGGGGTGTGCAAAATTTTTTTTAATAAGATTCGGATATATTTTTCCCGATTTGGGGGGGGGGGTCTAAGGTGGAAGCGTCATTCAGGTAGCCCTATAGCTCTATCACCACCCACAGGGGCCTCGAGTTCTCTCACTGTTTCAACTGTGGCGGGGAGATCGCGGCGGAGTGCCAAGACTTTATCTGCGAAATAGCTCACAAATGCCTCACAACCAGTATCCAATTCTCTAGCGTTTTGCCTGCCCTGTGGCAGAGCCGTTAAACACAGAATCATTCTAAATAATTGGGCTGGGCATGAGCTCACAGACGCAATCGTGGCCTTGACTGCCATCTACTAGGATCTCATAAACGTCCTATAAGAGGCTCTTGTTGCCTCGTTGTGGGTGTGGCACCACTGACTCTCTAGCCGTCTCAGCGAAGTCAGGGGCCTGAAGTTTACTCACCTTTTTAAGTGTGGCGGGGAGATCATGACTTTATCCGTGAAATAGCTCACAAATGGCTCACAGCCAGTATCCAATTCTAATTCTCTAGCATTTTGCCTGCCCTGTGGCAGAGCCGTTAAAGACCGAATCGTTCTAAATAATTGAGCTGGGCGTGAGCTCGCAGATGCAATCGTGGCCACATAGAATTCTCTCTTTGCAGCCTTGACTGCCATCTCATAGGATCTCATAAACGTCCTATAAGATGCTCTTGTTTCCTTGTTGCAGGTGCGGTGCCACCGTCTGTCTAGCCGTCTCAGCTCTCGCTTCATAAGCCGCAGCCCCTGGGTATACCAGGGGGCCAGCCTAGAGGGAGTGCGGAGAGGGTGCCGGGGAGCGACTTTGTCAATGGCTGTGGAGAGTTGGCTATGCCAGCCCTCCACAAGTTCATCCAACAAGCCGTCAGGGGCCTTGGATCCCGCAGTGCCATCTGAAGCTGTACTGGGTCCATTTGGCTACACAGGCAAGCCAAAATCTGCTCGCCGCCCAAACAGGGTCGGGGTGGAACATTCAGACGGGACCTCAGGGCATGGTGGTCCGACCATGGCACTGCCAAAGCAGTAATCCGGTCCACTGTCACCCTGCCGCGAAGATCAAATCGAACATGTGCCCAGTCTGGTGAGTGGGGGTTGATACAAATTGGGAGAGTCCCAGTGCCGCCATAGACGTCACTAGGTCAACCGCCCGACTGGAAGCCATGTCATCGACATGGAAGCTGAAGTCCCCCAAGACCAGCAGTCTAGGGTGCTCCAATGCCCAGCCTGATACGGCCTCCATCAGGGACGGCAGGCTACTGGCCGGTGCGTTAGGCGGTCGGTACACCAACCAGATTGCCAGACTCTCCTCGGCCTTCAACACCAGACCGACACACTCAGTGCCCGAGATCTCCAATGGCAGGAGTGCCCTGAAGGAGTAAGCCTCCCGAATGAAAATCGCCACTCTTCTCCCCCGTCCCCTGGTCCGAGATTAGCACAGGACCCAGAACCCAGGAGGAGCAAGTTGGGAGAAAGCTACAGTCTCCCCGTCCCGCACCCAGGTCTCGGTCACGCACGCCAGGTCTACCTGTTGTTCCAAAACAAAGTCCCACAGGTCGTCTCAGCTGGCGTGGGCCCGCCGCTGCGTTGTCCCACCCTCTGGCCAGGCGGGTGAGCTCCAAAGAAGGGGGAGACCCTCCCCAGGCTCTCCCACCACCAACCACGGGCCTGCCGCCGCCGCCAGGGACCCAGCCACATTCTTAAGTCTAGCCTTGAAAAGGATAAGGAAGTTAGCTGCAGGAAGACTCAAGTCACAAACACCAGCAACTCAGAGTAGGCCACTTAATAATCATGTAAACCCGTGGGGGAACTAGGATGTTTTGCCTCAGAGATCTATTCCCCTTATACTGGTTGGGATGGTGGGCTTTGATCTTGACTATGGTTTTATCATTCCAGAAGAATTTTTACTCTTGGATTTCGTTCCTTTCCCATAGAAGAATGATCTCTCTCTTTCTCTCTATGAACAAAGGCAGAAATATAAGAGAGACTATGACGGAGACAGACAACAGCCTTACAGCTCAAGAAAGGCTGACGACTTCCTCAAGAGGATCCCAGGAACCTATTTCCTTTCCTAATGAGGTGGCTGAGAGTGAGTATCCTGCACAGTTATGTCAAGGGAAAATGGCAAGGAAGTGCTATGGGAGATTGCTGATTAACCTCTGAGCCACCTTTTGTACAGTACACTGGGGATTGAAGGAGGTCCTGAAATCTGGCGGCTCAGAATGTCCTTGTGGACAAGAGCTCAGCTGTGGCACTTGAGGGGGTGAGATATCCTTAACACTAGATATTCTGGGTAAAAATGGAGGGGCGGTTAAGATCAGCCAACCCAGACAAGGCCAAAGGGCCATCAGTCCTTTTCAACTGCAGTCACATAGATGCCTTTGGACCCTGCTGACCCTCCCAGATGCTAACAGGATCACTCTATTTTTTCCAGCAGAGGATGATCAGAGGAATGAAGAGGATGCAGAACTTCATCAGCAAATGCCAGAAAAAGGTAAAAATGAAGATTTTAAAGAAAACATCAGGAATCAAGGCGGACCGATGGGAAAGAAAGGCGTTCATATGGTTGAGAAGAGACATGGAAGACAGCATAATGTACACATTCCAAAGCACAGGATAATGAAGGAAAGTAACTCTACCTGGTGTGGAAAAAGACTCATTGTGAGGGGGAATTTTAAATGCCGTCACAGAACCCACAGAGCGGAGAAACTTTATGAATGTTCAGAGTGTGGGAAGAGATGCACTGTGAGTGGGAATCTTCAAAAGCATCTGACAACCCACACAGGGAAGAAATCTTTCAAATGTTTAGCGTGCAGAAGGAGAATCAGTCAGAGTGCCAATCCTCAACAGCATCAGAGAACCCACAGAGGGGAGAAACGTTTTCATCGCTCAGAGTGTGGAATGAGATTCAGTCAGAGTGCCACTCTTCTACTCCATCGAAGAACCCACACAGGGGAGAAACGTTTTCAATGTTCAGAGTGTGGAAAGAGATTCAGTCAGAGTGGCCACCTTCACCAGCATCAGAGAACCCACACAGGGGAGAAACCTTTTGAGTGCTCAGAGTGTGGAAAGAGATTCAGTCAGAGTGGCCACCTTCACCAGCATCAGAGAACCCACACAGGGGAGAAACCTTTTGAGTGCTCAGAGTGTGGAAAGAGATTCAGTCAGAGTGGCCACCTTCACCAGCATCAGAGAACCCACACAGGGGAGAAACCTTTTGAGTGCTCAGAGTGTGGAAAGAGATTCAGTCAGAGTGGCCACCTTCACCAGCATCAGAGAACCCACACAGGGGAGAAACCTTTTGAGTGCTCAGAGTGTGGAAAGAGATTCAGTCAGAGTGGCCACCTTCACCAGCATCAGAGAACCCACACAGGGGAGAAACCTTTTGAGTGCTCAGAGTGTGGAAAGAGATTCAGTCAGAGTGGCCACCTTCACCAGCATCAGAGAACCCACACAGGGGAGAAACCTTTTGAGTGCTCAGAGTGTGGAAAGAGATTCAGTCAGAGTGGCCACCTTCACCAGCATCAGAGAACCCACACAGGGGAGAAACCTTTTGAGTGCTCAGAGTGTGGAAAGAGATTCAGTCAGAGTGGCCACCTTCACCAGCATCAGAGAACCCACACAGGGGAGAAACCTTTTGAGTGCTCAGAGTGTGGAAAGAGATTCAGTCAGAGTGGCCACCTTCACCAGCATCAGAGAACCCACACAGGGGAGAAACCTTTTGAGTGCTCAGAGTGTGGAAAGAGATTCAGTCAAAGTGGCACTCTTCAACAGCATCAAGGAAGCCACAGAGGGGAGCAGTGTTCTCTCTAAGCTGAGTTGGTGTGAGGTAGCTCACAGTTTTTTAGCCTCTGGCTCACACATTTTCTTCTCTTTTTTTTATGAAAGTACCCCAGGGTACACATTTATTGTTTTCTTATATTCCTAAACATAGACATAAACAACTACCACAAACAACATATACACCAAGAGACTTGTTACAGTTTGCTACTACACCTAATCCATCACTTCATTATTCTGTAATATTTGTTAGTATTCTCTAATTCCATTATTATATATTACTACCAGTACATACTCAAATATTGGGCAACTCGAATGATAAAAGTGTTGCAACACTTTCCCTATGAGGAAAGGTTAAAGCACTTAGGGCTCTTTAGCTTGGAGAAAAGACGACTGATGGGGTGACATGATTGAGGTTTACAAGATTATGCATGGGAAAGAGCAGGTAGAGAAAGAGGTACTTTTCTCCCTTTCTCACAATACAAGAACTTGTGGGCACTCCATGAAATTGCTGAGCGGTTGGGTTAGAATGGATAAAAGGAAGTACTTCTTCACCCAAAGAGTGATTAACACATGGAATTCATTGCCATTATACCAATCATATAGTCTCTTCCAGGTTTTTTTAAATGTCCATTAAATGCCTCTCATTTCAATAGTCAATTTATCTACTTCTGCCGCTTCTAAAAGTCTATTAATATATTCCTGTTTGGTTGGTGTTTCTTGAATCTTCCAATATTTGGCATATAATATCCTTGTCGACGTTGACATGTATACAATCAGGTATCTATCAGTTCCCTCGAATTCTTTCGGAAAAATATTTAACAATAGCAATTCTGGAGTAAAGGGAATATTACGTCTTGTTATTTTTTCCATTATACAGTGCACCCATTTCTAAAAAAATTTTGAAACATCACATAACCACCACATATAATAAAATGTGCCTATCTTGTTTTTACACTTCCAACATTTATCTGAGCAGTTACCATTTTGCTTTGCTAATCTATCTGGAGTAACATACCATCTGTAAAACATCTTATACATATCTCTCCCTTATATATAATTGAATAAGATGCAGAGGAGAGAAAATGCACACCAACAGTGTTTCGACGGCTGAACTGTCCATCAAAAGCTTCCCCGGCTTCCATTGGCCATGTCGCCTACGTCCCACCTCAGACGCAGCTTCACGCAGCGGAGAGAAAATGCACACCAAACGGTCTTTGGAAGCTTACGCTCTCCGTCAAGAGCTTCCCCACCTTCCACTGGCCGTGTTGCCCAGCTGCCGCTCAAGGCTACTGCCCTGCCATGGGCTGGAAGGCGAGCGCTGTGTCTGAGGGCGGCTGGCAATGTGCCCCACGCTGTGGCCCGATTTCCCTCCCCCACCCGCCCGACTTCGCCAACCCGCCTGGGAAGCCGGACACACGGAGGAGGCTTTTTTACGCCCCCCACCCACGTTGCTTTCTTAGCACCCCCCCCCACTTCTCTGCCCCACCTGGGAAGCCGGATGGATGGGAGGATCTTTTGCAGCCCCCCTGGCCTCCCCCCTTCTTCCTTCCCTCCTTTCTCTCTCTTAAATATTAAATGTTCTGGCAGCTTAAGATTATCTTTTTTATCCAACATGTCCTGGTATCTTAGTGGTTCTTCTTCTGCATATACCGTAGGCAAAGTAAATACTTCCAGAGGCATAATCAATCTTGATCTTTTTACATTAAAAATTTTATGTGTTGAGTCCAATACTTTCCATAGTGAGGCTCTCAGCCAGTGTTGCCTGAAATATTTTTGAGAAGTAGTCTTTTCATACCACAATAAACACATTCCAGCCCATCAATAAATCATGTTCTTCCAATTTTAATAATCTTATCTTCCAAAGTGATCCATTCTTTAATCCAAGTCAATGTCGCAGCTCTATAATATAACATCCAGTTCGGAACTGCAAAGCCTCCCCTTTCCTTCGCCTCTTGTAGAATCTTTAATCTTATGCGTGCTCTCTTCCCTTGCCAGATAAACCTTGTTGTAATTTTATCCAGCTCTTTAAACAATCCTTGGTTTTGTAATATTGGTATATTTTGGAATAAAAACATCCACCTGGGTAAAATATTCACACATTTTCGTCTCAGCTCGGGAAGGATGGCTCCAGAGCAAACTCATTTATGCAGCAGCCAAATCGCTCGCTCACAGTTTTAATGCTAGTAGCTCCCAAAGTAGAATTTTTGTTCACAAGGCTCTACAGCTTAGAGGGAGCATTGCAGGGGAGAACCCTTTTGAGTGTTCAGAGTGTGGAAAGAGATTCAGTCAGAGTGCCCATCGTCAACACCATCAGAGAACCCATACAGGCAAGAAACCTTCTGAGTGCTCAAAGTGTGGAAAGAGATTCAGTCAGAGTGCCCATCGTCAACACCATCAGAGAACCCATACAGGCAAGAAACCTTCTGAGTGCTCAAAGTGTGGAAAGAGATTCAGAGGAAAGGGATTCAGAGTTGCAGTCTTCTACTGCAATGAGGAACCCACACAAAGAGAAACGATGTTAACTGCTTAGGTGTGAAAAGATCTTTTCTCCTATTGCACACCTATTTCACAGACCATACAAAGCATTGAAAAGATATAAACTGTTGTAAGAAGCTTGAATCGACACAGAAATACTTAGAGTGTGGAAAGAGCTTTAGCCATGTTCAAAACCTCAGAAAGATCCCAAAGGGAAGAAAGCGAGGAATGGCAAAGGGCTCTGCTGGATGAAGGATCTCCTTTAGCATCAAGGAGTCCTCTCAGCAAATCTCTCCTTTAGCATCAAGGAGTCCTCTCAGGGGCTGAACCGTATCAATGCTCAGTGTGTGGCAAGAGATTGAGGCACAGATCCGATTGTCAGGTTCCTTTGAGAATCCACACAAGGGTGAAACTTCCCTATAGTTGGTGAAAGGGAAAGGCTGTGTCCCTTAACCCAACGAATTCCCTAATCCAAGTTGTCCTTCCCACCCCACCCCCAGGTTTCCATAGAATCAGGAGGGAGAAGTAGGATTCCCTCCTGCTCTAAACACCACCACTGCCACCACCCGTGCATGTGCTGGGAATGACCTGGACTGAGCCCTGGGCCAAGGTGACCTCCTCCCACGTCTTCCTCCTCAGAATTAGAGTTGGTAACAGGCTGAAAGTGATCCTCCCTCATTCCCAGAGGCTTAATGTGTGTTGAAATGGGTATCTGAAAAGATAAATAACATCCTGTAAAGCCTCTGTTAAAGGGACCGCACATTCCCCCCCCCCCCCCGGCGGTGGGCAACCCTAAACCCAACGGCTATGCCGTGGGCTGTTGAATCGAATTTTCAAGGTTGCCAAGAATATCTTGAGGTCTTTGATAGAGTATGTTGTGGCTAACTACCTGATGGCACCTTGACCATCTCTCCAGGTTCCCAGAGCAACTCAGGACTCTGAGATTTTGAACAGCCAACCCCTCACCCTTCAAAACAGCTCTGACACTTCTTTCTCTATTTCCATTACCTGTGTCACACATCTCCTGTCAAAGCCTCCTCTAAGAGCTCCGGTTGGGTCTCTTGGGGCTTGGGGGGGGGGGTCAACAGTGGGAGGGCTTCTAATGTCCTGGCCCCACTGGTGGACCTCCTGATGGCACTGGTATTTCTGGCCACTGTGTGACACAGAGTGTTGGAGTGGCTGGACCTTTGGCCTGATCCAACATTGGCTTCTCTTATGTTCTTATGTTCTCTTAATCAGGGAAAAGAAAAAACAGCTGAGAAGAGTCACAGCTCATTAAAGCTATTATTATTTGTATCAGGTGAATTAGACTTTGTATTGTCTGTGCTTTGGGGGCTCTTTGAATTCTCCCCAGCTGTGATTGAGTGGATTGAAAAATTCGGATTTTCGTATTTAGGGGGATTGCCCAATTGGTCTGCATACCCATTGTATCAACTTAATTACATGTTTTATATTATGATATGCTTCCTGTGTGTAACTCTGCCATACGCTACATAGTTATAATAATGGGCTTTGTGGGGTTTTTCTTACTGTGTTGGGATTCAAAGGTTAGTGGGGCACGTATTTTTTTCAGTTGTATATAAAGTTCAAAATAAATCCTCTTCCAGAAGCTTGAAATTTGCACCTCAGCAGACGTCTGATTCCCATGAGTGAACCCAACTGAGTTTGCCCTCATCCATGATGTGGGTCAGTGAAGTTCAAGAGCCAGAGTGTCGGGTTGTGGCTTGGTGGGTCTGGGTTTAAATGTACAGTAGGCCTGGAAGCTCTTGCAATGCCTTTTAGCCAGTCACATTTTCAGGCTAACTCGCCTTGCAATATAGCTGTAAGGATTAAATCTTTGTGGAGGAGGCAACTTCAAAGAGATGTGTTTGATAGGTGTGGAAATCTCAAAACTTCCTGTCAGGTCTTGAACAAAGCTCGCTCCCAACAACATTCTCTTGGCAGT